GGGCCGAGCTCCCGAGCAGCCCCGCGTCAGGAAACAATAGTGCAATGTTGCGGCCCGCCTGCCCAGCCCGCCCTGCCACACTGCGGCGGCGGCCGAAGGCGAGGAAACCGGGTGGCGCTTTTTTATAGTCGCAAATATAAAATCAGGGCTCCCCCCCCTTTCGCTCGCCTCTTGCCCCAACGCCGATAGAAAGCAGATAAATTTATGAAGGGCGAGCTAAGAGAATAATTACGGGGTGAAGGCCGTTAAATTTTATTTCAAGTCCCAAAGGCAAAACCTGCGATTTTATTGCAAACATCTGGAAGGACCGAGAGGTGGGCACGCTGCTAGGTTAAAATAAAAATAGACGATTTTTATTTGGCGAAAACAAAAAAACATCATTAAAGACCTTTTGCCCCCACTGACTTGTTGGGGCGGGGGACGGAGACGGAGCGCTGGGTAGCCAAGGACTCAAGGCAGTGTCTCAGCTGTCGGGGACCAAAGCCAGTTCGGCGACTAGAGGTGCGCGCTACCGGAGAAAACCCAAGCTGCTTTGAGCAGGGCTTCTCAAAATTTACTCGCCTCCCTCCCGCTGAAGCCTAGGGCTCCAGGCCGCTTGCTTATTCTGTCCCATTCCGCGCTCTTTTGTTGCTCTGGGATGCCAGTGTGAAAGCAGAAGTGATAAGAGGTAAACCCTGGCTCCAGTTTCCCAAAAGATTTGGTAGCAGCCAGAATAAGACCATGGGTCTACCAGCCTTCTGCACGCCTCCCTCCCCCGCTTGCTTATTCTTAGCTGCAAACCGCTTAGACCTCTGCACTCCGGAGAAGGGAAACTGAGGTCCGAGCCTGTTAATCGACTTGCCTAGAGTCACACAGTTTGGGGTCAAAGGAGGCCTGATCACCTGGCACGCACCTCACCTTGGAGTCACCATGATTTTTTCCCACCCCATAGTCGCCTCATAATATTTTACATCTCCCTTGATGGCCAAGTTCATTACAATCCCCTTGCCCGCACAGAGTGTCCTTCCCACGTGTTTAGGGGCAGCCTAACTTGTCCTGCTGGCCAGTTATTTTTAACTTTGTTTTCAATTACTTACTCAAAATTCCCCAAAATCAAAGCCGGCTGCTGGGGTCGCCTCAGCACTGAGGCAATAGGTATTTAGTGTGCTGTGAGCAGAGGAGGAGAAATGTGCTGGGGTGGGGTGGGGGGGTGGGAGGCTTGATTTCTGGGAATGCCTGTCCCTATGCTGTAGAGCTCTGCTTTTACCTTTGAACGGTTGCTGACTGGACAGGGCCAGTCTGAGGAGGGTAGTCTTTGTCCTCTTCTTCCTGGGTGTCCTCCTGTTGGGGCTAGGCCTAGACCTTATTTCCACTCATGTCCCTCCTGGCGTTCAGAGATGCCTGAAATAGACCTGTACCTCAGGGTCACAAGGTGCAGCCTGTAGCTGGGGGGCTGGGAGAATGTCTAGGCACCAGCCCCAAACTGGGAACCCCACTCTTATTCCTACAAGTTAGAAGAGAAAGAAACTAAGGTAACAAACTAATGTGTTTAAATCCCTCTGAGTAATCAATAGAAGAAAACCACACACACACACACACACACACACACACACACCCGTGTCCACATTTTATTTAACCCCACAACCCCCTCTCCATTCCCCTTGACTGTGTGCCCAAGCAAAATGTAGGAAAACATCTTGTTTAGAGTGCCCCACACTTCCCCCACCAACACAGATTTATACACTGAGGAGTATATAGCTCTGGGGGGGGGGGAAGGTGTGCACTAGATTAACTCCTATGGGGACACAGGTTGTTATAGCCCCTCCCACTTGTTTTGGGGGGAAACTTCAGTTTTCTCATTGGTTCTGAATCTGCTTGTCTTCACTTTCATGGGGTTGGGTTTTGCGGCTTCATTTGAGACTCTAGAGTGAATATGGGATAGGGTGGGTGTAACTTAAAGAAGAGACACAGTGGCTTGTAGAGGGCTCAGCTGAACATAAGCAGCAGAGGTGGGGAGGTAGAATCTTACCTTTAAGGCACCGCTGCTGCTTCTTTTTCTCTAGGGCATTTTGTCTGTGGCCAGCCACATGGGTGGGCTCAAACAGTTGGACCTGTGTATGGGTTGCTGAATGATTAAAAGGGCTCTTTAAAAGTTTTTAATTACACTTAGTGAGTTCTTGCTCTGTGTGTGTACACACATACACACACACACACACACGTGCATACTTGCACATGACATGGTCATGTGGAGGCCAGAGGAGAGCTTTGCAGAAGTTGGTTCTCTCTTTTCATCCTCTGGGTCCCTGGGATCAAACCCAGGTCATCTGGCCTAATGACCGAACCAGCTCATCATTCTAAAGCTTCTTTTTTTGGCCCAATGTAGGGGGTGGGGAAAGACAGGACCGCTTAGAGCTCACAGAGGGTGTCTGTCCTATATGGTATATCTCTTTCTCGGTTCGAAGCAGGCCTTTCAGAGAATAGAAAGAAAGAGGTTTTCAAAGAGAGATGTGAGACAATGGTGTAGAAGAGCCCAAAGACCCCTAGCTTCACCACTCAGCCTGGTATAGGCTGGCTCCTAGCCACAGGGTTCTGAGAATCCCTATGAGACCAGAAGTCCAGAGCTGCTGGGAAATGGATTGGCCTTGTCTTCAATATTTTTTGTAGGACCCCCAAAATCCATCACTTTCAGCCACAGTTCCTGCAAGAAATGCTGGTTGGTGAGGGCGCCTTGATAGTCGTAGATACCCGGCATCTGCAGAGATAACCACAGAGTTGCCTGGCTTTCCAGACATACTAAACTCTTATCTTTGCTGCCTGAGGACCTCCAAGTCAGAGAACACTCCAGGAAGGCTCTGGTTCGAAGGACTGATGAAAACACACTCATCAAGCACCTTTGGCATTTTCTGTGCCACCAGCTTGCCCCGAACCAGGCTGGGGCACAGTTTGAGGAAGATCAAACAATGACCGATCAGCTCACCTCTGAAAAGGCCCGCATACATTCATCACATCTGTTGCTTCCAGCAGCAGAGGGCTCTCCATGATAATGGCAGAAACTAAATTTCCTTGGTCCTTGGGGCAGGCTTTACAGGCCTCGTGGCCTTACCGAGGTGCCGCAGCCTTTCTTCCCTTCTTGACTGGGCAACTAGTTCTTTGGAACTACACATATATTCTGTACCACTTCATCTAAACTTAATCATTCAGACCGTGCTCCCTGCCTGGCTAGACTCTTCCAGCCTTCTCCAGCTTCATAGTCCCAGGATAGAATTATTTTGACCAGGACGCTGGAATAGGGAAATGGGGCTTTTAGGCCTCTGCCCACGAAATATGAGACTTTTTTCTTCTTTTTTTGGTGGTTGGCAGGACCCCTTTCTCCGTCTAAGTCTGTGCTCCGAGGCCTTATGCCATTTGTAATAAGGGTAAAATAACCTGGTGGACTGGTGGACAGTAAGAATTGCAGGGAGTGTTGGATCTTAAGTTCCTCCGCTATCTGTGCTGAATGGACTGTCCTGAAAGATTTAAAAGTGAGGAGGGTGGGAGCAAAGGGAGATAATTAGTAAGAGATGAGAGCCAAGTTCTGGTGGCAAGGGGATTTGAAGGAAATCTGAAAAAGCTCCTTCTCAGTTGTCCACCATCAGAATTCTTAGCTGCCTTCCTCCACACCCGCTGTGGGTTCTTTGGACTAAGGGCCCGGAATAGGCAACGCTCACCAACACTCAACTCAGAGTTTGCAGAACAAGGAAAGTTACTATTTGTGTGGCGCGGGGGCCCAGTCGGCAGGGTAAGCCTGCAGAATCCGCGGTAAGCTAAGCGTCCCACGGTGGCCTCTCGGCTCTCAGAGAACCTGTTTCCTCTCTTCATCAGGTACAGCAAGAAGGAGGATGAACTCTTGAAATGTTCAGTTATAAAACTTTGGATGACATCCGGAAATTTTAGTTTGTTTCATTTTGCCTTAACCAGACCCGCTTAGAAAACCATTGATCTGGAACAGAACCTGTGTGGAGGAATTATGGGAGATCTCGAAACCCCTGGGGGACACGTATGACCTGATCAGAAACCTCTTCTGCCTTGGGGGGGGGGGCATTTTGTCACAGCACCAACTTCCCCAGATTTGAATTTGAATTGACTACGAAGAGCAGCTCGATCAGGCACAGAGGGTTTGGAAGGAAAAAAGCACGGATTTGTAGTTTGGATTTGTAGAGTTTATAAGGGTGAAGATCAGACCTTGACTTTCATCTGTCCTGACTGTCCTCCTCCCCCAAGGGAAACCGGTCTGGCACCGGGAAGCCAGGGGTTAAAGTTGGCCAAGAAGCATCTGGGGATGGCCAGTTTACTGCCTTGGCCCAAGCCTCAGTCTCTCCCTTCTCCTCATTGGCCGGAGCTCTCGGGGTTTCTCTTGTTCCCTTCCTGCCATTGGTTGGGGGCTGGCTTTCCCTCCCCTCTGTCTTTTTCTCCCCCCTCCCCTCTCCCTCGCCCCTCGGACAGGAGCTCACTGCCTACCCCCTGTTCCTCGGGAAGGGAGGAATTCAGGGGGGGAAAAAGTTTCCCAGAAGTTTGGATCAGGGAAAGGACGGGAAAACCGAGAGGGGAAGGGCGAGAGGGAGGAGAAAAAGGAAGAGGGAGGAGAGAGAGGGGGTGAATTTAAAAAAAAAAAAAAAAGAAAGAAAGAAAGAAAAAGAAAAAAGAAAGAAAGAAAGAAAAGATGAAGCCCAGTCCACACAGCTCGTGAGCGCCTGCCCGGGTGGGTTGGAGCTGGACTCGGCGCTCATGCGGCGAGCAGGCGGCGTTCCGGGCGCTCGTTCCTAGAGGCTGGGGCAGCTGGGGGCACCGGCCCGAGCCGGCGGTCGAGGGCGGGGGAGGACACGGAGGGAGGGCGCGCATCAGCCGCGGAGCCGCCGCCCCAGCTTCGGCCGCGGCGCCGCCGCCTCTCGAGGGCCGGGCCCGGCGGGCGCTCCGAGCGTGCGGCCGCGGGGCTGCCAGCTCAGTAGCGCGGGCGGGAGGAGAGCCGGGTGCGGGCGGCTAAGATGAGTGAGAGGAGAAGATCTGCAGTCGCCCTGAGCTCCCGAGCACATGCCTTCTCCGTCGAAGCCTTGATCGGCTCAAATAAAAAGCGGAAACTGAGAGACTGGGAGGAGAAGGGGCTGGACCTGTCCATGGAGGCGCTGAGTCCCGCAGGCCCACTCGGAGACACGGACGACCCGGCGACCCACGGCCTGGAGCCCCACCCGGGTGAGTGTGTCGTGTCGGGGCGGGAGGCGGGTGGAGACGGGGCTACCGAAGGCTGTCCCCGCGTGTGGAGCGAGGCCCTGCCTGCCGACTCCCTGCCTCGCTCCGACGTGGGTTTTTCTTGGCATAAATTGCCTTGAGCCTCTCTAAATTCGCCGGAACCAATTTGGGGGGCTGGCCCGAGCCTAGCATTTTAATCGCCAAATTTCAAGCCAGGAGGCCTGCTTGGGTTCATCCCCTTCTCCTGCGGCAGAGAGCAAGCAGCCTTTTGAGGCGCCTACTCCGAGGGGCTGCGGGCCCCTGGGTTCTGAAGAGCTTAGTCAAACACGCTGGAGAGAGAGCCCAGGAGCTCTGAGGCTTACTTCTGAGAGCTCCCGGTGAAGCCCGTGCTGCGGCCATGGGAAATGTTCCGTTTCTCTCGTTTAGTTTCTCTCCCGACTAAGCTTTGGACGGCGGAGAAGGGTAACTGTCTGTCTGCCTCGCTGGAGACATGTTAGACACCGTAGCCTGAGACTGAGGTCTTGAATGAGTGCCCACATCTCTGTATGTGGGTGGGTGCGCGTTTCAGTTAATTTTCTCGGATCTACCTGTCTTGTGCACATATAATATGCATAGAACCCTTGAAACTCAAGGCGGATATCAGTGTGTGCATTCTAACAGAGCCCTAGGAGGGGAAAACAGCTTCACATTTTGTATTAAGTGCCAAGATTTCAACAGTGCAAAACAGCCCGGGGGAACAGCTGTTGTCAGAACTCTATAAGCGTGCACACGAACACAACACTCAGGGCTTGCTTTAGGGGCTCCAGAGTATTTTCAGCCCAGACCTCTGAAACCCTGCAGAAGGTGTCCTTGCGGACTAGGTGGGCTGCCCGAGTAGACCCCTGGTCCTATGGCTTGCAGGAGGAGGAAAAAGTCGGGCAGCCGCCCACACTGGGATGGGAGCAGCCCTAGGCTCGGGAGCTTGGGGATCCTGGCCTAAGAGCTGGCCAAAGCCCCAAGAGAGACAGCTGTCGCTTGCATTTTCTCTTTAGGCAATGACAGTTCAGTTTCCACGCTCCCGAGGCTAATAATAACGCGATTAGCCAGAGACCTGCAGAGGCAGACTTTTATGAATTCTCCGTGTTCTTGCGGCCCGTTACGGAATTTGGGTTTAGTGCTGGGGAATTATTTTTATTAGTCGATGAAAAGAAAATTAAAAGGAGATTTATTTCGCCCATCCACGACTTTTCTCTCTTTGGGAGCAAGGTCAGCTCCACTCGGACCCCTGCGTGGGCACTCCAGGAAGGAACGCATAGTTAATGCGTGTCCTTTCTTTTTTCCAGAGCCCATTTCCTCTCTTAATTTATCTGTTGTCAAAATTTCAGTAAGGATCCGTACAGTTACTGGAATGTCTTGCAGGCCTTATGACAACTTTCGATTTGAGACTCTCCGATTTTATTTTTTCTGACAGTGGAGAAAGGAGAAATTATTCGACTTAGCAAGACTGATGCCTTGTCAAGGGTGCTTTTCTCTGGGTTGCTGGGAGTGCGTCCCGGATCTTATGATCCAAAGGGCCAACACGTGGGGTCAAAAACCTGGACATGGTTCACTGCTTTTTCCCTCTGCCATCCTTCTCAGGCAGAAGCGAGAGGAGCAAAGAGAGGGAATCTGGGAAACAGAGTAACCCAGAGGTATTTCTGTAGAAGTCCGGAGTCCCTGACTGACGAAGATGCGACGGAACATGGAATAGAGAGTGAACTTGAATCAATACAGTTCAGTTGGTCTGTCCCATTATTTTATCTCTTGTTTAAAAAGACAAAGGGTACCTTGGAGTTAGAAAACAATGAAAAGTATTAATGAGTAAGGTTTCAGAAGGAGGAATTCAAAGTTGAGAACACTAGGTAACCCAGCAAGGCCTTGGGCAGGTTGAAGCTCTGGCAATGACTTACAGGCTTTCTTCTGCTCCGGACTTGGAATGAGAAATCATCCTCCAGGGGAAAAAAAAATGGGGGCTGGTGTCATAGCTGCCCACTCTGGACTCAGCTGTGGACTTCGTGTGCAGAAGCTGAGGACCTTGTAGCTTTTTTTCCTCCTCCACACAGGGCTACGTTTAGGTGCATGGAGGAATCGGTTGAGCGGCTGACTCCCCTGTCCAGAGCAAAACCTTTCTTCTACTGGGTTTCACAATTCGCCTTCTTTCTATTAGGGCGGGCGAGGCTGCTGCGTGGATCCCTGGTCTCTAGGCACAGGGAGAAAATAAAGACAAAATAAAACCAAAACTGCCTTGGGCCTGTGGCAGGATTAAATACTCATTGGGCCAAAGTAGCTGTGTTGGTCGCTCCACCATCTTCTCTTTGACCGATTCAACTATTTTCGGTCTGCCCTGCCCTATCCTGAAACCAACAGGAACCTCGGACAACCCAGGGGCTCAAGTTGTAAGACTGAACTGTAAAGCAAACTTTAATTCAGAGACTCTGCAGGCCGTTTGCTTTTTCACAGGCCGATTTGCTTACTGGGTCTGCACAAAGCCGGCTTTAGTTGGAGCCTGAGCACCCGAAGCCAGGGGCGCCAACCTGTAGCAGTGGGGGACCAGCCCGCCAAGGCCTCCACTCTGCACAACTCACTAATCAGAGGACACAATTACGTATTTCCACAAACTTCCACGGAAGCCCCGTGGCCTCCCAAATCTCAGGCAGGGGATTTGGTACAGACTCACGCCTTAGTCCTATTGACCCTGGCTCCTGCCCTCCCTGTCTTTTGGAGAAGCCGCTAAGTCTTAGGGGCTACCAGCAGGAGAGAGTCTCGAGGTCCCGGCCTCTGGCTAAGCGCAACAGAAGAAACTTTTAACCCAGGATCGGCGGCGGAACAGCTGCTGTGACTACGGCCTCGAAATGCGGCGGCGCCCAGTACGCACGCACGGACCCATCCGACGCTCCATTGAGCTTCCTTCCCCCAGCTCTGGCTCGGACATTTCCCACCCGTCTCTTCAGAGGAGTGCAGCCAAGGCCGGGTCTCCTGCGGAGCGAAATAATTCAAACCTTCTGGGGAGGGATTTCCCTCTTTCCAGCCTGCAGGCCGAAGAAGGCCTTGCGGCCAGCCCTGGCTCCACTGGCCTGGAGAGGTGGCATCGGTCGCGGGTGGGCACACTCAAGCACGCTCAGGCAGGCAGACACTCCGCGGGCGCGTGGATAAGCAGAATTTCTTAACGTTTTCATTCGCATCCACGCGCTCAAACCTTCATGCAGGCAGGCGGGAGAAAAGCCCAAGTTGAAACTTTGGCTGCCCCAAAGCACTTTGCTTTTTAGTTACCACCGACAAACCGAGTTACCTAGACAAACTGCTTACTTTATTTAATCTTCCAGTGTATTGTTTGTTTGCTCAGAGCAAAACTGTGATTTTTTAATCCTGACATTTACCACCCCATTCCCAATAGGGAAATGACGGGTGAAAGAGAGGAAGCGGCTCTCTATTGAGAAATGGATACAGAGGGATGAGTTGGATGTGTCAGCGGAAAGAATATGTGTCAAGCACCAGCCACGACCCAAGCCGGGTTCAGATGGTGGGGGTAGGGTGTACAGACCCCTATGAGGCTGCCGAGGGTTGCTTGGGCGGAAGGTTCTGTAATTCCTCTATGCTGTGCACACTGCCCCTGACACACAAGTGGGCATCCAGGGTGCGGCTGACACCAAGTGGGCCTTGGACGGCTGCCTTCAAAATGGCCATCCTCAGAGGCCACACCTTTAGAAAGTGATCTTGTGAGAAGGAGGAAGAGGAGGAGAAGCAGGAGGAGGAGGAGGAGAAGAAGAGGAAAGAAAGAAAGAAAGAAAGAAAGAAAGAAAGAAAGAAAGAAAGAAAGAAAGAAAAAACAAAGAAAGAAAGAAAGGAAGAAAAAGAGAAACAACTTGGGAAAGAAGAAAAGCAGAAAGAGAGGAGGTAAGGTTGGAGAGTATAGTTGTTGGTTGAAGAGTATGGTGGGTCACTGGAGGATGAGGGCTAGGAGTGTTTTTTGAACGTATGTCAGACAGTGTCTAAGGCAGGCACCTGTGGATGCCAGCATCTGTGGAGAGAGTGTCTTAGAATCCGCTGCTAGGAAATAGGGATTGGTTGTGGAGATTATGGGAAATATCAGTCGTGGTAAAAGCCAGTGGGAAGAGGACAGTACTCTTAACTCAGTCCATCTCAAAGAAATGACAAGAGGGCAAACTTAGATGGCCAGAGTTTCCTGTGAGGGGAATCCAAGTGGACCTTGCTGCCTTTACTTCTTAGTAGCTTCCTTATCCTCAAGTTCCCGAAACTAGCACACTACACTCAGGGCTGACAGGCTGTGCAGTATCTTCTTCGCCGGGGCTCTGGGTTCGGAGGAGTCACTCATATAGCTCTATCTAGCCCACAGTCCACTGGCCTGGGCAGTTCAGGTCCCATCCCTCACCCCCTCACCTCCCTCTCCAGAGCAAACCTAAAGAAGGACAAAGATTTGCCTATGCAAATCTGCACACAACCTAAGGACCTTGAAATTCTCAGTCCATTTTTCCCTGGGCTGTCCATTGCCGGGTTTCTTATTTCTTGTTGAACAATGCTTTGGAATCTCCAGCTAGCCACTTTGGGGTTTCTGATTTTGTAGATGAAATTCCCAGAGTAAGGTGCAAGGAGGAAGAGTTAAAGTTCTTGGTGTGGAAATTAAACTAACATAGGCCTCGCCTCGTGATGTTTTCCTTACACTCCTGCACCCTCCTATCAATAACCCCAAAGCTGTAAAATTTCAACTGTGAAATAAAATTATTAAACGTAAAATATATTTAATAAATGTAGCCTGTGTGGCGCCTAACCTGAGGGTCAATTAACTCAACAACTACAACAACAAAATTGAAGTGTGTGAATTGAGATGTGTGCCTTCTGTTTCTCTACACAGCCTTTTCTTTTTTCACGTGGACACAAAGCTAGCAGAAGTGCACACTTCGTCTTTAATCACACCCATCAGACTAGACAACTTCAGGGAGAAAGTCAAATGCAGCCCAGTTCAGAAGACCTGACTGCTGTTTACCCAAGCCTACCACGTGGCATTCACCGCTTTTATGAAAAAGCGGAATATTCCAGGTCCACCAGAGCGAAACTGCTAGCAAAAAATTACCGTGTTACCACTAGAGACAGCATCTTCGGAGATTCCAATCATGGACCCTGGCAAAACTCTCAAAGTTAGGACCAAATAGATACTTAAAAAAAATGTGTGTATAAGTTCCTTTCAGTGTGGTGATGTGGTCTCAGAGCAGAAAAAGCCTGGGGGGGGGGGGAGCGGGGAGGGTTGACTTGCACAAATTCCTCAGGGATAAAGAACTAGTTGGAATGTCACTTTTCTTCCTCCATCCTGGAAGTGTAGAAATCCATCTGATGACTATCCGGGAAGGATAGCTGGTTCTTTCTTACTCTCAAAAGCCAAACCAGTTCACTAGACATTATTGAAACCACCTTCCAATCTAAGGCTTAAGTTTTGACTTTTTGGAATACTTTTTGAAAAAAAGGGGGGGGGGGGAAGGGAGGGCAAAACAGGAAGCTGTTGACTGTGCAATCTTTGCCCTCTCTTATGAATGGGGTTTATTTTGACCGTGCCTTTTCTGGTCTCCAGTAAGCCTGGAATTTTATATGCATGTGATTGAGATTCTCCCTGGGCATGCACTCGGAACAGCAATTAGCAAATTTATAAATCAGGTCTGTTTACACTTCTTTGGGGAAGAATAATCATTACTTAATTTAAGTGAGGCCCTTGCTCTAAGTGTCTGGGTGGAAAATGAGGCTCGGTAGGGAGGACCTGCTGTGAGATGGAGGAGGTGGGAGATTTAAGCAACTGGGGAGAACTAATCAACATTTAGTTGGCACCAGTAACTTAGAGTTGGGTGTTTTGTTGAGTACAAACTGCTTAGGAGCTTTTCATATCAGAAGTGAAAACCAGCAATTTCTCCACGAATTCTGTATTTAGAACAAATGAGCAAGAACAACCAAAAAACAACCCAGCTTTGCCCTACACAAAGATGTAAAAACGGACGTGTTTAGTCCTGTGAACACCGCAGCACTGTGTGAACACTATATCCACAGCCAGCCTCAGAACCATCTCTGAAATATATTTCGAGATATATTTCAGGCAAAGAAGTTGGTTCCTCCCTCCTCACGTGTGTGTGTGTGTGTGTGTGTGTGTGTGTGTGTGTGTGTGTGTAGCCAGTTTAACAGATGGGGAACATACAGCATTAGAATAAGCAAAGTTTTGTGAAGTTGTTTGTTTGTTTGTTTGTTTGTTTGAGACAGGGTTTCTCTGTGTAGCCTTGGCAGTCTTGGAACTCACTCTGTAAAGCTAGGCTGGCTTCAAACTCAGAGATCTGCCTGCCTCCACCTCCCAGGTGCTGGGATGAAAAGGAAAGGTGTGCACCACCAGCACCTGGCTTGTGAGTTTTATGCATTTAAAATTTCTAGACACTGAGTGTTTCCCTTTACCTCTTAGAGCCACCCGGGAATTTTGATTAAATTCTAAGAGAACTATCAGAAAATAAAATTGTACAAATATGGTTAGAAACAACACTAGACACTGGCAGTAGGCTTTCTCCCCCGGTTAATCTTGTGAATATTGCCATTTTTATTTTGTGGGGCCAGAATGTTACTTTCAGTCCTAAGGAGTAATTACATGCCCCTGATGTAAGTGGATTAGGAGAAATCTGGATAATAATTACACTTTATACATTATAAAGATAAGCATTGCAATTGAGAAAATTAATTTAGGAACATGAAAAACATGCAGAAATGTATCCCCTACTTGTCTATTTTTCTTTCTTTTTTTCCTCCCACATAGTTGGCAAATCTTAGATGAGATGGGTGCAGAAAACTGTCGCATACTTTATAGGACCAGACCCTAAGGAAACAAACTCCTGGAGGGAGATACGGGCCAGCATGGTGGTGCACGCCTTTTTCCATTAATCAGTAGGAAGAGACAGGGACTTACATGAGTTCAAGGCCATCATGATCTTTACAGAGTTCAAGACCAGTCAGGGTTACAAAGTGAGACCTTGTCTAAAACAAACAAAACAAGAAAGAAACGGAAACCTGAAAACAAACTGGTCTCATAAACGCAAATTTCGCTTTCATTAGAGTTTCTTATATCCGGTAGGAACCTGCGAGCTTTTGTGTGCTTCTTTCTAGCTAGGGGAACGGATTCCCTAAATCGCGCAGCCGAGGCCTTCCCTGAAGTCCTCTGTCTCCCGGAGCATAAGGGTAAGGCTTCACCTAGAGGATCCCTAGAGACAGTCAACCTTTATCTCTGGTCCTTGCGCCACACGTCGCTCGCTGCCCTGTTTTCAGCAGGAAAGCGGCAGTTTTCCCGCGCCTCTCAAGAAATTTCAGCTGACATTTCACCAGGGAAGGAAGTAGAGTGGATCCTTCCCTGTGAACCCGTGTCTGGGGCAGTTCGGGTGACCTTCACAAGCGTGTTGCTTGGGCCTCTGGCAGCGCAGAGAGGTGCAGATCGCGGTGCGGCGTCCCCTGCGCAGCTCTGGGCCCGGTGCACTGCGTGGCGGTGCGCCCAGCTCCGCGGAGCTCCGAGTCTGGCCGGCCGGGCAGGGGCTGTAGGCGCCGGGCACCGGAGTGGGGAGCAGCTGAGTCTTTGAAACTGTGGAGTCCAGAATCTCTAGTTGATGGCACTTGCGCGTTGTCGTTCTAATTACTTACGGGAGAAACGAGGGGGCTCTGGAGTAACCCGGGAAGTCTTGGGGGAAGCCATCTCTCAAAACAATCAGACTCCCCTCAAACAGCGAAAGAAAAACAACGGAACCCAAAGATCTTACACCTCGCGCCCCGAGGGGAGTTTGGGTTTTGCTTTCATCAGGCTGAACAAATTTCCGAGGAATCAAACTGACTTCAAACATTAGCAATTAGAAACCAAGAATCCCTGGGCCTGTAGAACTTCTAATCCTTAACCATTTCCAAATGGGTAATTCTAGGGTCAGTAAATATCGTAGCCAGTCTGTTAAAAAGAAAGACGCCCACGCCGTGAGCTACCTACGGTAGAGTCCTTTCAGAACCGTTCTTTGCCCCCCCCTGCAGACGGAGACTGTCCTTCGGCTGTTCTTGGGAAGACTGAAGGCGCAAGTAGTGACTTTCTTAAAAGAGAACCCTCTCAGCTTTACAAAGTAGGCTGGAAATCGCAAAATTCCGCAGGAAGAGATCTACGGTGAGCTCAGCCTTAGTGGGTAGGGGAAAATCTTGCCCCAGGCAACTTTGCGCCAGACCGGGATAGACTGGACCTAAGCCTGGAGTTAGGTAGCTTGAAAGTGTCCTGAAAAAAAAATAATAATAATAATCCTTAACTGGTCTTCTCAGTGGGAAGGTCAAAGCATTTTGGGTCGATGACTGTGTATACAGCAACATTTTCCTTGAATTCAACGTGTTTTGCTTTGTTTCAATTCAAAAGCTTCATCAGTCATTTGATTTGTTGTTGCTGTTGTTATCAGCACAGCCCAGACGTATCTGTACATCATTTAGAAAACAAAACCGTTTAGTTTGAAATTTAAAGGTGTGCAGAAGATGACAGAGTAACATAGTTCCAACGCAAAAGAACCAGAAGGTTCAGAAACCACCAGAGAAAGGAATTTGACTGTGATTCTTCTCAAAAGCATCACAACAAAGACTTCCACAACAGTCTCCATATTCTATTCCAGCGACCCTGTGTTATGGAAGGAAGAGGGCGGGACTCCCTTAAAGCAGGAGGCTTAAATTCTACTGCTGGCTTTGGTATTAATGTTGAAACAGGGATATAAAAGCAGACATATTAATGTTGAAAGAAAGTTTTAAAATTGTTTCATAGCAGCTAGTGAGGCCTCCATTTCTGGCTTGTGAGATGAGAGAGCCAGTTTCAAATGAAACATGAAGCCCGTTTAGCTACAAGACTCCACTGCCCCTGTTAGCTTTTGTTTTGAAAATATTAACACTTTCTCCTAATGCACCTTGGCCAATACTTGACCCACTTTTTACACCACTGGAATGAGGGAAATTTTACTGCATTTGTGGAACGTTGCCGTAATAGCAATCTAAGGTTTAAAAAAAATTAGAGCTAAAATTAGGTGCTTTCATGGAGCTCTTGAAATTATATTAATATCACATGTTCAGAAATCAGAGATTGGTGATTTCTAGTCCTATGTGTTTGATGCCTGAATGGAAAAGGCCAACAAAGGCTCTAGGGCACCAGGAAATTGAAAGGAAATGCAAATTATTTATACTCTGACAATGTTCTGTTTAATTCTCAGAATAATAATCAGAAAAATCATCTCTCTGAAAAATAAAGATTGAGGAGAACAGTGTATCACTGGTGAATTGGATTGGGGAAAAAAATCACTCCTCAAGCCTAATGGAAAGAAAGCGCTAGTAACTATTTTCCATGTCCAGCCTGCTAAGCTGAGGTCTGGATCTGGCAGGGATGTGAGAATGCTAAAAGGATGACTTAGGAACAGGCAAAAGGCTTGTCAACAAGACAGATCAGGAGACAGCTTAGCATTCAGACCTCTATTCATAGCAGCTGAACTCGAGGGCAGGGTCAGAGGCACAAACTATGCCCTGCACACACCTAGCAATGTTTCTCGTGTTTCTATCTTGTGCAGTCCTGCTTCCTTACAGACTATTCCCACCCCAGGGCTGGCTTACCGCCCTCATCTATGACCTCACTTTGCACAGACTCTATTCAGACTCCTGTAATCATGGGATATGAAAAATTTACTACTTTCCCTTGACCTACTACTACTCTGGAGATTGCTGTGGGAGAAGGACCTTGTTTTCATTGCTTTTGTTTGTTGAGAGCTTAGCATTTAGTAAATAATAAAAAATACATAATCATTGCCCAATACAAATGGTAACAAACAGCAACATTCATTGGCTAGGAAACTGTGTCAGTTATCGTGTTGATATGTAAAGTATATATTTATATGCACACTTGCAGACACACATTCTGATTATATGCAGCAAGTACACAGATGAAAGCAAAGAGTTACTCTTATTGCATTATTTCTTTTCTTCTTAAAAAATATTTGCTGGGCATGGTGGTGCAAGCATTTAGTCCCAGCACTCAGGAAACAGAGGCGTGGATCTCTGAGCTCAAGTCGAGCCTGTTCTACAAAGTGAGTTCCAGAACATCCAGAGCTATACAGAGAAATCCTGTCTAGAAAAACAAAAACCAAAAAAAAATTATTTATTTATGTATCTTATATATACACTTTATCTGCACGTACACCTGCAGGCCAGAGGGGGCGCCAGATCTCATTAATGATGGTTGTGAGCCACCAGGTGGTTGCTAGGAATTGAACTCAAAACCTCTGGAAGAGCAGCCAGTGCTTCTAACCATTGAGCCATCTCCTCAGCCCTGCGTTATTATTTCTGTTTGATGCAATAAATGCATCAATCACGCAGGATCCTGGATCAAGCTCAGAATTTTGGGGTCACATTGCTTGCTTCAGAGCTCTGGTCCCAGCACTTCCTAATTGTATGACCTTGGGCAACTTAATGTCCTTTAAACACAAGTTTTTGCATCTGTGGAATAGCAACAATAAATGTGTTCGTTTTTTACCAGCGGCTATAGCTAGGATCAGCGAAGATAGTACACATACAAGAAGAAAAGATTTAGTTCAATGCCTGACATTCCTTCCACATGTTGACAATAATTGGTGGCCTTGGTGATTAGGAGGGGTATGCAATGGATGAAAGCCTTAACCTACAAGGAGGTGATGTGCAATTCCCTATTTTTCTCTAGGAGTTGGCTCCTCACCCCATTGACTATAATCAGAAGCAGTACAGAGTCCGAGTATGTGTGAGCTGTTGCTATTCAATAGTCCATTGAGACAAAAAGGTAGAACCTGAGGAGCTAAAAGGGAGAAAGTAGGGTGTCCAAGGATGGAGGTCCATGGCTGCCATGCAGAAGGTGGAAATGGTAGGTAGATGGAAGGAAGGGCTCCTCTAAGATCTCAGCTCTGACAGGACAGAGCGAGATGCCTGGAGGCGGGAAAGTAGAGGGACACTAAAGTTCTCTGGTTAGTTTCTACCTGCAGTTCAGAGTCTTCAGGTTAGCCGTTGCCTCATAGGAAACACGAAGAATGGCTCTTTGTAAAGCCATATTCTGATGGAACTCCAGAGTTGCAATAATTAGGGCACAGTCATTTATGATTACTCTGCTGTTTAGTTGGGTTAAGAGATTAGAGCTACAATGTGTGTTTGTGAGTGTTTGTGTGAAAGAGAGAGAGAGGAGAAGAAGGAGAAAAGAAGGAGGAGGAGAAGAAAAAAGAGGAAGTAGAGAATAAATTAAGGGGTAATTTAAGAGATAACTTGAATATTCACTTATTGTTATCTTATCTGTATGTGTGTTTTGCCTGCATGCATATCTGTGCACCACATGTGTTCACTGCCAGTGGAAGCCGGAAGAGACCATTGGATCACCTGGAACCAGATTTACAGAAAGTTGTGAAGTTGTGAGCCACCTTGTGGGTGCTGGGATTCTAAGCCTAGGCCTCTGGGAGGGCAGCCAGTGCTTGTAAATGCAGCACCAAGAGATTAACTTAAAGGAAAACCTGAAAGTGAGGAGAAAAGAGCTTGGGACTCTTTTAGAAGAAAAGCAGACAATGGCTCAACCTGGGCTATAACCCACATTTCACTGCCTTTGTTTGTCCATTTTTCTTGTTTCCAGATGATAAAAATGGATAATTTGCTGGCTCTTTTTTTTTTTTTTTATGTTGCTGCATTCTAAGCCTTCTTCATATTGTTCCCTGCCAGTGGAGGGAGAAAGGTAGCTTTTTTGAAGAAGAGGAACAGAGAGCAGTGCCTTTCCGAACTTCTTCCAGGCAGCCCAGGATCTTTCAGGATACACTCTCAGGCCTGACAGCACAGAAAAGGTAGTTAGCCATTCCAGTAGCAAGTCAGGTCTCAGTCTTTGAAAGCCTTTTCAAGTCAAGTAGTTTTGTTTATTTTCTGTCTTTCTTAAAAAAAGTATTTCTTTATATTTAAAATAATTAATTTTATTTATTTTAGGTGCATAGGTGTGAGGGTATCAGATCCCCTGAAACTGGAGATACAGACAGCTGTGAGCTGCCATGTGAGTGCTGGGAATTGAACCCAGGTCATCTGGAAGAACAGCCAGTGCTCTTAACCACTGAGCCATTTATCCAAATTCATTTTTTAAAATTTACATGCATGTACATTTGTATGTATGTGTGGTATGCGTGTGCATTTGCATGTATGTCTGTGCGTGGTATATGTGTGTCTGGTGTGGTGTATGTTTGTGTGCCTGTGGTATATGGAGTGTGTTTGCTTGCAGATGCACTCAGAGGCTGGAAGAGTGTCAGATTCTCTGGAGCTGGAATTACAAGAAGTTTTGAGTGGCTGTGTGTGCGTGCGTGCGTGCGTGCGTGTGTGTATGTGTGTGTGTTATGCGTGGAACTTCTTTCCTCTGAAAGAGCAGCAAAAGTGCTGCCTATCACTCAGCCACGTATCCAAGACCTTGATCTTTCTCTTATACTGACAGGCTGGTCCTCAGAGAAAAAGCATTGTTTCTCTATTGTGCAGACCAGACTGAGGTCCAAAAGATTACCTA